CACCCTTTGGGCCCTTTTTTCAATTGAAACATGATCTACCACTCCCGGTGAGCACGAGCAGTGGGTGGAGAGTGGATGGAAGCTTTCAGTGCGGAGCCTTTTAGAGCAAAAGAAGTACTGAGGGTAAACCAAATCACAGCACAAAACAGACAGCTCCAGCAAGGTTTGTTTAATTCATTGTTTACAGGCAGCTTTAATCATTTTGTTCTTATTCAGCACCTTTCAGCTGAAGCCCTCATATAATCTTTGCGATCAACAAACCTCCCTACGCCCCTGTGAGGTAAGCGGGTATTTTCCAGATAGGGAAACCGAGGCATGGAAAACTTAAATGACCTGTCCAGGGACACCCGGTGGTGTTGCAGTATGTGAGCTAAGATCAGGCTGGAGGTTGTCAGGCCTAGACAGACAATGAGATAGAAATGTGATGCAGTTGCCATTCAAGGGGAGGCATTAGGAGCTAGTTGAATGTATTTGCAGGGTTGCTAGTGACATTCCAAATACTTGTGTCCTCCTCCAGCCACCTGCTTCCAAGCTCTGCCAGAGTTAGACATCTGATCACTTTTCCACCCACCACTTCTCCTCCTCATCCTCGCCCACATGTTGCTAACAAAGTGGAAGAATTGTTAACTGGAGCCAGGAGAGGGAGGGATGAGACCTAGGAACTGAACAGCAAAGAGTAGCAAAACATATTTATTTGTGCAAGTTCCAACTTACTGCAGCTTAAAGAAAAGGCCTTGCTGCACTGTGCTTGCTATAAAACATCTACGAACACTCACGCAGGACGGTGGTGGAATGCAGGCTGGCAGCCTCTAAACCAGCTCTTTTTATCAGCGCAGGCATGTTACACGGTTAGACATATGGACTTTATGGAACTATTCCACTGTATCTTTTTCTAGCAATAACAATCTCTGTATTTGCCATCACTATTCTTTAGAGATTACTGTCATTTCATTGCTTTCATTTTTGACCTTTAAACTTTGTCTATTCTTTTTTTGCAATTCTTTACTAGCTAATTATTCTTTCCTTGGACTGGAAGGGTTGGAAGGCCCAGGGCTTAAGTAACAGGCAGTGGAGACTTTAGTTCCAAATCCAGCCTAGACAGTGTAAAATTGTTACCTTGCAAAGGGCATTTGGTGGCCTCTGTGTATCAAGCTGGCAGGCTATCACTGCAGTTCCTGTTAGATAAGGGTGTAGAGGGCAAATGCCACCATCATATGTTGACAGTAATTGCCACTACTTAGCAGCAGCATGTGCATAAAAGCAAAGACCTGAATGGGCTTGTTGGCTGAACTACACACAAAGAGCAAGTTTTCCAGGCACTGGTCTGCCACCATTCATGAGAGCTATCACTATAACTGTTATAGTCACTGCAGGCCATACTGCATTCCCATTGTTAATGCTCAGCAGAGAGTGATTCAGTCTAGTTGGGAAGAGTTTTTTTTTTTAAGTAAAATGGGATGAGTTTACATCTGGTAAACGCTGACATGTATACAACTGTTTTACTCCTGGTCCAACTTTCCATATATGCCTATGTTTGTTGCATGCATTAAGCACTGAAATTAAGAAGATAGAGAGGACTTACAGGATCATACAGCTCTTCCTCAGAGTGCTTTTTCTTCTTCCCTCTTAAGTATTACATGTCCCAAATGATGGGGACATTAAACTTCACTTGAGAGATGATGACTCTAATCCAGTGGTTATCAACCAGGGTACCATGACACTTTGGGTGCTGTGAGAAAGGATTCTGTAGGGTGCTGCTCAATATTAGCACCATTAGACATGTTCAAACATGTCTACATGATTTACAAGATAAACCAAGAGATTTAATATAGGAACACAGAGGAAGCCTTCTGGTCTATTGTGGTCTTTTTGAGTTGTTTGCGATAGAAAAATTGCTCTATTATTTTTCCGTGGTCAAAAAGCAAGTGAAAGATGATAGCTGGCATTTTCTGAAGGGTTTCTTGAATCTAAAAAGGTTAAAAATCACTACTCTGACCCAGCAATGTTTGCTGGTAGGAATCTCTTCCCCTTTGTTCTCCTTACATTTTCAGTTGCTTAGTTTCATCCCACTCACCACATTCATCCTCCTCTTGCACATTTTTTCTTAAAACTCATGCATTAAAATGACTTCAGCAAGGGATGGGATTTACAAGACCAATCCTCTAATTTCCACCTGCAGTCTGAGGCAAAGCACAGACATATTTCATGTGGGTGAAGTTTATTCAAACTTTGGATCTTTGACCATCTAGTCTAATAGACGATGAACATCTGTGGAAACATCTGTATCACGTAGGCAATGATTTTTTTTCCCACCATCTGGGTTAACAGAGGTTACTTGTCAATGGAATCTGCTTGCTTGGTATGTCTATGATACTTCAAAATGCAGAGACCGTCACTGGACCATCACTTCCTGGCCACTTTGTTCAGAGTCAATTCTGGTTTATTTTTCTGAGCAGCAGAGAAAACTGTCTAGTTTTGCTGGGAGTGGGACTGAGAGATTTGTGCAAACTTGTTAACCCCTCCCATCCTCCCCCCATGTAATATTTGTGTGTTCCAAGGCCTTGTTTTATTGGAAACTGAAACAAGATTAGGGCAGTCTGGCAACTGAGAACTTTATTTAAGATGCTGCAAAAATAATTGGACTCCTGATCTTGGGGGATTTACTCAAGGAGTGAACAGCTAGAGCAAAAGGCTGGTGCATAATAGTTTCAAGGGATTCATCTTATTAAAAGAAAATCACTCCAAATCCTTCATTTCCCCTTGGACAATCCCATGCATTTCTCAGCTGAAAAATGCTGTTGTGAAAATCACTTTTTGGAGGGCTTCTGTAGGCACTGTTTCAGAGATAGGACAATAAACTGAGAGCTGTCTGTTGTATCCAAGTGTGTACACTCTGCGCAGCCACCTGGCATCTGAGTGCACAACACTGTTGTCTTAAATTCTGCAGGCAAGAAAATCTGTTACTTTTTCCTTCCTGCAGTAAGCTTTTCCCAATAAATTACCCCCAAATAAAACTTGTTCTAATGCATTATTCTACCAAGCTCCTCACCTTCACATGCAGGCACTTTTGAGATCAGGTAAACTAAGGTCTCTGATTAACTTAATGCAATCTGCTATTCTCTCTTTTCTGCTATGAGGGACACTTCTAGGTAGTTCTGCACTCATGGATCTTATTATATATATTTGACTGGCAAGTGAACATTTAAGAGATCTCCTGGCTGTATTCCTAAGAGTTGGGTTTTTACCTTTAAAGTTCTGGCCAAATTCCTGAGTGGGAAATTACATTGTGTGCCTGTCTAAATTCCACCCCTTGCCATTTTAGCAGGATACACAATATTCTTCTTGACTCCCTGTCCAGAATCATCACATACCGAGTCTTTGAGTTGTAAGCAGCTGTCCAGTTTCATCCCTTTCAATCCTGGAAGAGGCAGTTCTAGTACATATAGTTTTATGATTTAGAAATGAAAAATCCTATAGAAGATGTAAGAGCCAATCATTGGGATGAGGAGAATGAGATTGGTCCTGATCCAGAAAGGTACTTAAATGCAAAGTCAAAGGTATTACTGAGATGCTTAACGTGATACCTGACTATGTTGCTGAATTGGGGCCATTATTAAATGTAATAGCAGGGCGGAAATGTTGAGGAAAAAAATAGAAGGTATGGCTTGACTTTGGGGATATTGCGCTCCCAAGAGCTAGCTATTTTCACATCAGAAATGAAGTGTGATGGCACTGGAGGGGCTCTTTGGGTTCCCTGTTCTGTAGTCTCACCTTTCACCCGTTTTATTCCCTCTTGCTTAATTGCAGCACTAGATGCCCCTGAGAAATGTGTTTAACCTTGGTCCTTACTTGTTACCTTACTGAGGTGAAAGAGAAAATCATCCCCATTAAAATACAGAATTCACATAGGATCAAACCTCTGAAACTCATTTCCCCATAAGATTTAAAGCACCAAAGCTCAGAAGATCTTAAATAACTCACTGAAAATACATCCCTCCCTGCTCTAAACACATTCAAGGTGAAACTTTATGAGGAGCAAAGGAATGCCTCATGTGCATTTAGTTTCGAATATTAAACAAAAATCCGGGGATGCTTTTCTACACATCAAAGCACTCCCAGAGATAAAGATAAAGGACCAAAAGGTGCTTTAAGTTTTGACCCTCAAACTCCTTGCAAATGACTACAAGGAAAACTATTTGTTCCAAATGCATCTGCTTTGAGATCTTCAGGTGAAGGGCTCCACAGAAATGCTAAGTATCTTATGGAAGTTTTGACAGGTGGTGTCCTAACATCTTGCTAGGTGCCTCAGGTCCTCACAAGTCTCAGTGTTTTCATCACAGTTAGAGGATGCATCTAATGAGTTTAGGAGACCACCAACCCAAGAAATCCCCAGCATTCACTAAAACCAAGCTAAACTGCAGAGATAGGCATTATAACTTCCTGTCCCGGTGGAATATCCCTGTAGAATATAGCTCTAAAACCTCTCTCACTTCAAGGGACACCACTCATGCTAACTTTCAAGTCACTCACTTTCCACACAAAACTTTGTGTCCTGTCACCTTCCTTTGTGAAAATTGTTTATCTCAGAAATAGCAGCCACGCATCGGAGGCTGTGAAAAAGGGTTCTTTACGCTGCATAAATTACGATGCATTATTAGTTTTGTATATGAATCTGTGGTCTTGCATTTTGATTTTTGTCATATATTGTGTTTATTAGGCGTTGGCAGAATGACAGTTACACTGAAAAGGGAGGAGGTTGTCAAGAGAAAGTGGGGGCCTGTTAGGGGTGGGAAAGGGGAGTGAACTCTGGTCTGCAATGAGGGGACAATGAGTGACTACAAAAGCTAGGGAGAAGCATCTGACTGCTGCTTGGCTTCATTCATTACTGGGACCAACTCCTTTTCTATTGCATGACAGGGTACCTTTACCTAGAGGGTTTACTGACTCCTTCTGCTAAGGGTACACTCAAAACACTTTCTTTCTCATCCCGTGTTTGGCAGATTGTGAGCACACTGACTACAGAGAGCAGCAGTGCATCAGGGATCTATTACTGTGTGGCTTCAAACAAGATTGGCACAGAGAAGAGGAGCATCAAGTTCTATGTGTCTGGTAAGCAAGAAACACTGCAGATGGGAGCGTGTGCAAGTAAGCAAGGGCAATATTGAGACCTGATCCAATCCCACCAAAGTCAATGCAAGTCTTTTTGTTGACTTCAGTAGACGTTGGATCAAGGCCAAGTAATTAACCTTTACAGAGCTCTTTAAAAAGGAATGGGGTCAACATGTTATTCCTCCAGATAACACGAATCCAACAAATATCTGCTAAACCTTTTAATGCTGAACCCTGTTGCAGTGAAATCACATCTCATAAGCTGCTTTTAATAGAAATGAAAAAAGAAAGAGTCCAGGAATATTTGATCAAATGTTTAACCAAATTAACCTTAACAGTACCCATTTCTTCTACCCATTTTCTAGATACTTTCTATCCAAGAAAGTTTCCTGTCAGAATTACCATTGAAATAGCATGTTTAAAAACAAGCTGACTGGAAAGTAAATGTCACAATCCATAAAAATTTGCAATGGGAAGTGAAGTTGAAGAAAAAGCTAGCACCACAGTGACTCTGTAATAGTCTGTATCATCTAGAACTGTGACTGTGAAGCATTTCAGTACAGTATAATAATGGTGTATCATGTAGTCATTTTTGTTACCCAAAACTAACAATGAAAAATGTCACAAAATGATAATGAAGATGGTGAAGACCTTTTATGCCATATATAGAAGCTGGTATTTAGAAGAGAGGGAGGGACAAGTACAGCTGCAGGGGACCTTGTCCAATGCAAAAAAAGTATTGGACCAATATATATATGAGCCATCATGTTGAGGAGTGCAGAGATAGGTTGTAGGATCAGAGGAGGAGGGGGCAGAGTGCTCTGTACTTCAACAGTGCTGGTCTGGAAAATATAATCTCTTCCTCTTGCAATGCAGTTCTGAGAGACAGCACCGATCTCTGAGGTCCTTGAGACAGCCCAAGCAGACAGGAGATCCATTATGAATTATACACTTCCCATTACTATGTGTGAGCCTTCATAAAGGTTTACTTCTGCAGCAAACAATGCCAGATATTATATTTGGATAGGTTCCTCAATGATCAAATCAGTCTATTACCACCACCAGTCCAACCACAAGACTTTATAATACCTTCCATCTTCCCTTACTAAACCTGACACTACAACAGGTTAGTGTGGGAATACAACTGGAGCAGAATGAGGTTCAAAGAGTGGTACCCAACTATAGGCCTTTTAGTGCTAAAAAACCCTTTTGCCCACTAAGAAAGATGAGCCCTTTTTTGCACTGAGATACTTATTAGCAGAGTTGACACAAATGGTGTTTTTCCACACAATTAATTGGAAATTTAATACCTCAAATATTTCATTTTTTTGAAGGCCGATATGTTTTGACATATGTGTATGATGCAAATGTGCAAGGCATACTTTTCCAACAGAATGAGTAATTACTGTAATTAACCATTGCAACAACTTGCCAAGGGCTGTGGCGGATTCTCTATCACTGGAAAGTTTTTAAAACAAGAGTGAATGTTTTTCTAAAAAGATATGCTCTAGTTCAACCATAACTATCACACTTGAAGCATACGTTAATTGAGGGAAGTCCTGCAGCCTGTGGGCACATCTACATATGCATTAATGAGCCTTTTCTAATGTGCATTAAATTTAGTGCCTCCAGTGTGAGGTAATACATTAATGCGCATTATGCTACACTAATGCACAGTAGTAGTGCATTTGCATACTTTTCTAGTGACACTTAATGTGCAGTAGACTGTTTTACTGCACATAAGCATAATGTCACAGGGTTTTTTACATGATGCTTTAACACAAAGTAAAATAGTCTACTGCACATTAAAATGCACGTATAGATGCTCCAAGTGTTATGCAGATGTTCAGACTAAATTATTACAATGGTCCTTTTTGGCATTAAAAGATATGAAAGGTGAAGTTTGATTTTTACACTACCATGAGTTTGCCTTCACAAGTTTTTCTCCAGACAGTGGAAAAAAGGGGAGGAGAGAGAGAGAAAGAGAACAGTTTGTAAGACAGAGAGTATTAACATTCCTGGGACAATGTGCCATGAGATCTCCTTATCCATGCTGCTACTTATCTTAAGCCATGTAAGGTTATTCCCATCACACAAAATTGCTTTCTTTCCATCTGAGATAGACCAGATCATGAACAAACCTAGGGAAAACATTCTCAGCCCTGAAATGGAAGTGAGTTCCATGCCATCCTAAGAGAAGGACAAGCATTAAACGATAGCATAAATCACATGTTTAAGGAACAAAAGTGGCATTTATGGATGAGGAAACTGAATTGTTCTAAATGTAGACATCACAGTCCCTGAGGCAGAATTGTTTAGATTCCACTGATAAAATATCCCCAGGCTGACCTGCTGCTTTGTCTCTTCATGTGATGGTCCTTGCTGAGTGGTACATGTTACTCCAGCCAAGTGGCCAGTTCCTTTGGAGACCTCATAGGAGCAACAGCTCTTGGTCTGGTTCACAAATGGGACACCGTTATCCACCTTGCACTCAGTGTAAGATCGGTGAAGAGCCAACCATACCATCTTGTCAACCTTTTGTGGAGTAGACGTGGCTGAGCTTATTGTCTGCAGAGCACCTAGGTGATTCCCATGGAAGTTTCTTCCCTATCAAGTCCCATTGCTGGGCAGACATGGTTTTTGGGTTTCCTGCTGTGCATGCGGTGCCCTAACACATAGAAGGCCAAGCAGTTTGGCCCTGGTTACAGAAGCTGGACTGCAAGTGACTAAAGGGAAAGTATCTTATGCAGCAAGTATGAACAGGATGCCCTAGCAAAATAGGTCAGATCCAACCTCAAAGTGCAAGTTTCCTAGTCTGTTCAATATGCCACAGCAGCTGCTATAAAACTGATAGCTTGGGGGCTGAACAGTGAGACCGAGGACAGAAGAAGACACTCATGTTACAACTGTGAGGCTGATGAGCTTCATTCAGGTGAATCTGAGAATTGACTTAGGGTGAATACAGGATTGAAAAGTAAACACGCAACCTTTGGGACCAGTTCTGGCAAATCTTTCCTGCCTTTCATTACCACCCAACTGTGCTCTGAAAGTCACCTTCTGCTGGTGGGACTCTGCACTTCACACAGAAGCTGTCAGGAAAATTTTGATCTCGCCTCATCTCCTTCTGTCCTATGTGAAATGATCTATGACTCATGTCACTTCTAAAGCATCCCTCAGAGCTGGTCCCCTTGTTGAGTCTGTGCCAAGAAACCCAGTGCTGAAGGGGCCTGAGAGGCTAAATTCTCCTCTTTCCCAGGAGACTGCCCCTTTAGGTCAGGACTGAGATGATATAGTGGAGCACTGAATGGGAAGTAAAGTGGGAAACCTGTGCTGTCACTACCCAGGCTGCACCTGTTCTGTGGGAAAATACAGCTCCTGAGTCCCTGGGGTTCCCAGCATGGCACATTTGCCAGCATTAAGTTGCTTTCTGGAAAGCACTCTCTTTGTCCCAGTGGAATATCAGCACAAGCCATGTTCTGTTCTACATGGCAGCTCTTCAGGATCCTCTACGAGACACTGGAAATAGCACCAAAAGCTATTTTAAAACATTTCAGTGACAGCAGGACACATTTGGAGATTACTCTGAAACCAAACCATATAAGGGCTGTATCTAGATGGAAAGTGACAGTGTTAGATGGAAGATCTAAAGCTTTGTTCAGTTCTTCCTGCAGATGTTCTCTCTGCTCGTAGCCTACTACAGCCCCCACAGTACTTTAGGCAAGCTAGGTGTGTTATCCCTGCTGTTCTGGCCAGACACCTGCTCCAGTATTTTGATTCCAACTAACTAAACCCCAAACCCTCTTTACAGGGTCAGCTACAGATCAGTTGTTTCAGTGTGTACTGTCTGTCCCAATTTTGACACCCACAAGCCCATGTAAATCATAGCAGGCAGGAGCCAAGTGGTCAGCCCGTCTTTGGAACTGACTCATGTCTTTGCCAACCACAGATTGACGACAAATGCCAAAGAACACACATTGGAGCCAACTACATTTGAATCCATTTTAACAAAAGCTCAGCAAATACCCACTCCTGAGGAATTTTCAGCTTTGAGCAAATATTAGTCAGCATTTGGTCTCTGATCTGCTCCACGGACAGTACAGCTACACATCAGAACAGTGCAGCTACACATTACTGTGCATCCACTATACAGTTCCAATCTACCTCTGTGTTTGCGAGGCACCCAACAATGAAGACACCTGTCATACACAATAATCATAATAATTATAATAGCAAACAACAACAGCGCCTTCACAACCCTTCTCTGGTTGTAACAAGAGCTCAGCAAAATTCAATGAAATGTCTTGGTTGGAAAGAAAATATTCTATTTCAGACATCAGATAAGGATCTGCTGTCAAAAGCTGTAATGCTTTATGAATTTAACATTTCTACCACTGTTTGCCACCATCAGTTTGCTCCTTCCTGACAAGTTTATGGGACACATGAAAGGGCTGGTGTTGTTTCAAACTGTCAAGCTTGCCCTCTCTCTGCCTGCATCTGACTTGCTAGGTCTGACATGGGGAGACTGTGTCATCTTGACAGACTCTGACATGGAATTCAGGAAAGAGCATAAGTTTTAAATTATACCAATTATTGTGCAAAACACAGGAAATTAAAAACAATTAATTCCTTGTAAATACAAATGGAATCAGACTTCCCTTTTGATTTTTTTCTGATGGTCTACCTTCCCCCAAAGGCTCATTTTCCTATTTTGTTAGGAAATCCTATATGGTCTTGAATGACTATTGCTGCTACTAGCCTGTAATACAATGAAAAAGACAAATGCATGGGGCCTGCTGGTAAAGGAGAAAAGGCCACATGGTGTATTCATATAGAGCATTTATTAGGAATCTCATGACATACTGCATCTGTTCAGGGAGAGGAAGTTAATCACTTCTCAGGGTCAAGACTGTGTAAGAAAAGTAGTGTAAGAGATGGGATAAGCTAAGCCATAACATGCTCTCAGAGCTTCAGTTACTCTCCAGACACAGTAGGAGGAGGAT